GGGGGGGGGGGGGCGAGGCGCTGTGGGAACCTAGCAGGAACTAGGATTAGGCAAGTAGATCAGCTTTATTTTACCCCCTAGGCCAAAACAAGCACTAAACCTTTGCAGTGCAGCAGTAGCCCCACTACAAGGGTTCATTTTTACATCTCCTGGAATTCTTTAGTGTTCGAGGTTTGCATATGAAGGCTTACTTTTTAAAATTGTGATTTTAAAGCCCAACGCTGAACATTTTTTAACTAGTCCTCCTTCAGGGGTTTTATCACCACAGCAGCTCTGGCTGAAATACTCACCTCCTATGTGATGCTGTCTTTCTGCCACTAGATGTCCTCAGTCTGCTGGACCAAATAACCCCCAGTGACAAGATTGAGGACATTCTGTGAGTGCAGGATGTCAAGGACACACCGCTTGAGGGGGTCTCACCATAGCATCCTGCCCTCACATAACTGACTTGGAGACTTCCAAAGAAAGAATTAAAAACAATAAAGAAAAGGATTGAGCATGGGGTTGAGCCTGCAGTTCGGCTTTTACATATCAAGCGATATATATATATATATATACACACACACATACTAGGATGTCAGGAATTGTATATACGATTTATTCTAATCTAGTAAAAAAAAACACAAACACGAAGGTGATTCAAGATTTTTTTTTTTCCATCATCTCGAACAAGCCCTTATTTACACATCTGATATTTACACGTTCATTAGAAGAAATAAAAGGAAAATCTGCCACAATATTCTGTGTGCTTCACAAGCCACTGAATAAAAGAAAAAAAAATACATAGAAAAAAAAGGAGATTTCTTAACACACACTATTTCCTGCCTGCAGGTGAACAGGATAGGTATAAAACCACATGATGGAAAATATTTATCTTTAAAGCTAGTTAAAGACGACCCTTGCATGACTACATCACAAAGACCATTATACTGAACTAAAAGAGAAATCATGCTTTTCCAAAAACAGTGATTTGGTGCACTTTGAGAGACCAAGATCTTAGTAAATGTGGCTGAATGTTTTTTTCTATGTGGTCATAAAATATGTACATACAGAAAAAAGCTTCTGCATGCAACATTGTTTTTACATTGGTGCTCAAAAATGTTACTTTTATCATATTATTTTTATTATAAAATGTGAATTAAATATCGGTTATATCATGGGAGAGTTTAAGATATTAATTCAATTTGTTTAAAAAAAAAAAAAAAGGGTTTGGCAAAGTTCATTGTGTATCCTGTTCACCTACAACTGACAAAAGTAATTCATATCAAAAACACAGTCATTTGGTCATGATACACCAAATAAAAATGTGATCATGGTGTTAAAGTGAGATATAAATCCAGTGATATTTTCTTGCACAGTAATAAAAACATAATTTTTACATTGTAGTTTTCACCGTGAAGATTTTGTGGGTCCCTTGTTACATTTCTACTTTAATAAAAAAGAAAATAAACCGCCGCCCCCTTTGTACAATGACACACACACGTTTAACAAGGTTTTTTTTTTCTTTTTGTGGCTCATATATAGCGATGTATACGTAGGCATTTGTAGTCTAGTTTAGGCTGCATAGGTAAGTAACTGAGGTGCTCTGTGGTAGCTATGAAGCTCAATACAAAGTTATATGAAGGGCAAAAGACCGAAAAAAAGAGCAGAAATTCTACAGTAAAAAAATTCCTGCGGTCAGCTAAAATTGTTCATTTCTGTTACCACTACAAACGTTTGTAGGCAGAATCACATTTGGTATTTTCTTTTATAAAATTCAGTATCTCAAGATCATAAAAACAAGTTCCTTAATGTCCTCCAAAACCAAATCTAGAGTAGGGTCAACTGTACAGTGCAAATGACACTCCTGCAAATAAAGATCAAGCAAAACAAACAGTGATCATTCTCCCCCCTCCCCCCCCCAAAAAACAACTACAAAAAGGTGGAAGTCTGATAACCAAGAAAAACAGCGTGCCAAACAGTGAATCTCAAGTGAAATACAAGTTATTCAGAAACACAACTTCAAAAACAATTTTGTTGTCCCATTTTTACAATTATGTTTAGGGTTCCAGTTAACACTGTTAATGCAAACAAACAAAAAAGATAAAAAAGCAAAAAAGGTTTAGTCTATGCTGAAGCAGCATATGGTCATTTAGTCTATGCTGAAGCAGGAGGTTAATATCGAGATGGATTTGTTGAAACCACTTGCCATGCTAGCAAGTGGACCTTTGACACTCTGAGCTGTTTACGCTGAGAATGTATTTCTTTGGTTCAGTTTTTAAATCCAAGAAATTAAAAATCCTCTTTGCTCATGCAAAAAAGGAGTGGGAGTGGAAAAGTCAATGCAAGTCGTATGACACGTTACAGAAAGTCCGGAGATATAAATAGAATTTGCATCCTTTGCAAATGATCCTAAGAACTCATAATGATCCTTAAATGCCAAACAGAACAAAAAAATATAAACTTGTGAAAAGTCAAATACAAAAAAACAAGTTGAGACTATGAAGACCGAATTGTATTTTAGGACTTCTTATATGGAAGAGAATCTTCAAGTTAAAGCTGAACTCCAGTATGAAGCCTTTATTGCCTAAATTCTTCTCTCTGCCCATGCACAGTTGACCAGTCATTCAACTTTTAAAAATGATATCCTTACTGGCCAGAGACCTCACATTATATAATAAAAAGGGACATCACCGGCAAGCTGCTTAAATTCTTATTGTGGCCACATTCCAGGCAGGGGGTCCACACGTCACATTTGACAGGTGAATGAGCTTCTCACAGTGCTTGTTTAACCACTTGCTGACTGGGGTGTTTATACCCCCTTCCTGTCCAGGCCATTTTTCAGTATTCAGCTCTGCGGTACTTTGACTGACATTTATTCCGTCATACAACGCTGTACTGAAATTTTATACCATTTTTTGGGGACAGATAGAGCTTTCTTTTGGTGGTATTTAATCACCACTACAGTTTTTATTTTTTACTATAGAATGAAAAAAGTACCGAAAATGTTGAAAAAAACTGTTTTCCCTACATTATGTTATATAACTATTATTATTACCCAAATTTTTGGCAAAATATAAAAAAAGACGGGGTCACGTCGGGTAAATCGACACCAAACATGTCAATCTTTAAAATTGCGTGCGCCCGCGAACTCGCAAAAACTACCATACCCAAAATTGGCCATAGGCGACGCTTTAAAAGCTTTTACCGCTCATCAGTTTAGTGTTTTCAGTGATTGATGGACCTAGAATTATTGCTCTCACTTCGCGGCGATATGCAACATGTGCGGCGTAATGGATGCAATCGTCGTTTCCGCACGTAGGCGCACTCAACACATGTTTGCATGTGTGGGGTGGGGGACTTTACATTTTTATATGCGACTTAATTTTTTTATATTTTTTTTGTAACTACTTCTTTTAAACCTTTTTTTTCCCACTTAACTTTATTGCTATCACATAGGGGACTAACAAGCCCCCTTTGTGATAGCCAATTTTCAGTGACGGGTCCTCTTCATGGGAGACATCAGGGGTCTCTAAGACAGAGGAATGCGGAAGTGATGTAATACACATCACTTCCTGCATTCCGAAGAGGAGGAGGCGATCAAATGGAGATCGTGTACTGATCTCCGGCCGCAGAGCTGCTGTGCTGGTCCCGGGCTCACACCGGAGCTCGGGATCGCCAGCAGAGCCTGCAATGGAGGGGGGACGCAGACCCGCACGCATATTACAAGCGATCAGGCGTGTCTACAGACGCCCAAACGCTTTTATGTAAACAGCCATCGCTGGCTGTTTACATTGCAGGCTGACTTCCCGCTCGTGCGCACCGCCAAGCGGCAGGCACGAGCGGGGCGGAATGGGACGTTTAAAAACGCCCACCCGCATTCAAGAAGCCGCTGTACGGCTGTTTAATTACAACGGCCGGAGAGCAGGTGGTTAAAACAATTGCCTGGGTTGTCAATCAATAGCTGTGGGCAAGGCAAGACCAGGTGCTCTGCTGACCAGAACCATCCAAATGAAAACTGACGGAGCCATCAGAACTGCCTTCTGTGGACTACAAGGGGGTGGTAACAAGGCCGGTCACCATACTTAAACAGAGTAACAGCAACCGGTTGTTAGAGGTGGAAACCGCTCTGCAGAGGCTTTCAAAGGGATGTGTTAAGGCCGTTGCTACAGAAAAACCTGCAAGGGGGCCCAGTTATTGATGTGTCTTTGCATCTAAAAATGTTGACACTGACTGCAGTTCAGCTTTAAGTTAATGTTTAACTATTATTGACTTATCCAGTAAAGTAAATTCATAACGTTTTAAGGGATTGATGTCCAAACACTTGATTAAGAATGGTAAAGGGGAGCAATGGAAATATTTTTTTTAACACCGGCTTGGCTTAGTAGTAAGCGAACAGTAATTAAAAATAAAATAATAATAATGAGATTACTGCAATCATTTCCCCTAAAACATAAATTACGGTGATTGTTGCTAAAACACACACACAAGAAATGGGAAAATAACTCCTGTTACAAGCAGAAAATAAAGTCACATGAAGAGTTAAATATTTAATTTTATATTACATGAAATACAAAATCTAGATTTCACTTTATATACAAGAGAATCAAAACTGGCGCTCATTTGCAATGCAAAAAACTGGCACAGAAATTGGATTAAGTGGATGCATACATATACAAAAACAGAACAGTAAAAATAAAACAAAAATAAAAACATAAAAAAATACAATACTTTGAAAACAATAAAAAGGAAAATGATTTACACAAGTAAAATCGGCTCAGAATGTGGCAGTCCTTTTCTTCTGTGAGCCAATGCTGGAACAATTTAATGCCAAGTAATGTGGTAAAAATAAAAAGGAGGGGCATAGGGTTGACACAACCTGATTCATGGAGGTACCTGGCACCTATCTGCAAACTTCCGAATTAATTGCCCTGAGATTCATGTGGTTTTATTGAAAGGCTGCTTGTTTAAAATAATGTCTATATCATCATGTTAAAGCTTAAAAATAATAGGTATTAAAACAATTCATGTCGGGGACAACAGCTAAGGATAAAAACCATCACTGGAATATCTAAGCCTGATGGTACTATCTAGATATGTTTACTGCACGTTTAGCAAGTCCATCTGCAGGCTTTTAAAAACGAGTGGTCAACATAGGCCAAGTAGGAAGCAAAAATACTTAAAATGTACTGACACTGCATTCCATGACAGAAAACCAAGACCAGCACGCCTCCCATTCTAGCACCAAAGTATCTGCTCTATGAATGCAAGTGAGAAGCTAGGACACAAAAAGAATTGTAAGCAGAGAACGAGGATTTAAAAGCAATATATACATAGCAAAATTAGCTTAGCCCTTATCTCCCAGGAAGAGCAAAGAAGGATCTCGACAAAAAAAAAA